TGTGACCTTAAAATTTGACAATTTGTGACTAAAAATTTAATCTGTGACCTGTAATTTTTTGATCCGTGACCTGTAAAATAATCTGTGACCTATAAAATTATTGATTTATGACCTCGAAATAATTCGTGACCCCTAAAAATTTTGATATGTGATCGATAAACAAATTGTGACCTATAAAATTTTTGAATTGTGATCTCGAAATAATTCGTGACGTATAAAATTTTTGATTTGTCACCTCGAAATAATTCGTGGCCTATAAATTTTTGATTTGTGACCTCAAAAATAATTTGTGACCAATTAATTATGTACTTGTGACTATTAATTGTATAATTATGAAATCATTATATTTAATTAATTAATTAATTAAATCATAATAAATTTTAATAAAAATCTGATTTTTTGAAATTCCAAACTTGTTTTCTTAATTTTGAAATAGGGGATACTTATTCTCTTACTTATGAATTTTTCCCTTGTCTTATTAACTACAAACCCTTCCCGATGATTTACCCCACCCAAATGCCCAAACCTGAAAAGTGAAATCCCCAATTTCCACCAAAGAACTACAAGATGAAGAAAAACCGAATTTCGTGGAAGTTGTTTCATTGAATTATAGAGATTTGGTTCGATTAATCCAAAATATCGAGCAAATTTTGTAAATTGTGAGTAAACTCTTTAGTTTTTTTAATGTTAGTTGTCAAATAAGATTATCTTGTGTGCACTGAATTGTCAAAAACTGATATCAAAAGCTTTGGATGTTAAATATTGATAATGAATTAGTATTTCCTCCTTATTCAATTGATTGTCTTATTAACTACAAACTCTTTATGCTTGTTTTTATTTTCATTTGAAAGAGTCTACAGCCTGTGATTATAATATTATAATATATACCGAATGTGTACATTATATGCATTACTTCCTCTGGTTTGGTTCGAAAAAATTTCAAACCGAATCCTGTTCACCCCTAGTTGTTACTACGTGGGCTATCAGATAGTCGCATTCCATTTCATCAAACTTGAATTCTCCGAAATGCTTATGTCAATCGCCGGCTGGTTGACGAGTTAGAGCAATATCTACCACAATTATCTAGCTTCTAATGGTTCTCAAATATGCGACCTCAAAGGTCACTAAAAAGACGTGGTATCATGCTTAAGTATTTTCATTTGCATTATTATACAACCTCATAAGTCGCCACGTTGTTTTAGTTTCATTTGTATGTAACCTTTTTGAATGACTTGGTGAAGTAGTTTTTTGAAATTATGTAATTTTTGTTATGAAAAGAGAGAGAAAAAGAGAAGAAATAATAAAAGTTAATAGATTTGTGTATATTATAATGAGAACCAAAGCCCCATATTTATAGGGAAGAATTAGGGATACATATGGTAATAATTTTTAGGATTGTAGGGGTACAACTGTCATTACTAATAAACTTACAATTTACAACACTCCCACTTGAATGACACACTACAAAATATCTGTCCAGTTAAAACCTTTTTTTGATAAAAACCTAATGGGACAAAAAAAAATCAAATGAAGGAAAAAGTGTACAGTTATTTTACAGTATTAAAGATAAATACTGCCTCATTAAAACCTTGTTAGGAAAACTTAGTGGGATAAAACTTAAGCGAAGAAAAAAGAGTACAACTACGTCCCTGATGTTGATCACTGAAAATCTTTGAATCGACACATTTCAATCTTGTGAACCAATTTCTTGAATATAGATGTTGACAGTGTTTTTGTAAATAAATCAGCCACATTGTCACTTGAACGAATTGCTTATGTCATCTCAAATCTTATTTCGAGAAATACATTATAAACATATCGAATAGTCCAAACAGATATCGAAAATAATTAAAGATACATTACATGGGTCTTAAAAAAAGGCGTCTAGCTCGCATTTTCATTAAAAATAAAAATCAATTATTTCATTGACATTTATTATTTTTGCGATACAAATTTCTCAATATAAATTTCATCATTTTACTAGGAAATTTTATATGGAATATGGCATCAAAAGTTTTCAAAATTTTACATCCGAAAAAATCATATTTCATGTAAATTTTCGGATGTAAAATTACATGGGGTATGATTTTTTGGACGTAAATTTTCGATTGCAAAATTTCTCTCAACTTCTTTACAAGTTCGATTGTGTCTTCCTAACTTTAAACTTCATCGTCCGCCCCCTGGTCAGATACATACGATTTTGACGTTGCACAACTTCTCACTAATCGTGGATTAAGGACTCCAACCTTGGATTACAATATGTTAACATTCGAGATCAAGTTCGAAGAGTATATATGTAAAAGGGTCCTTGTCAGCCTTTTAATCGTGAATTTAAGAAAAGACAATTTGGAGAAAAAGAATATAGATGATTCAATCCTTCTTGGTTTAACAAGTTTGGTAGTTGGTTGGAGTATAGTGTGACAAAAGAGGCAGTTTTTTACTTGTATTGTTATCTTTTCAAAACAAATAGTGGAAAACAAGGTCGAGGTAACTCATTTGTTGGTGAACGATTCAAGTGTTTGTGAAGGGTCCTTTTATTGTTATTTTTTTACCTTTACTAATATCGTCCGCATTGGAAAAATTTCCTAAGTCCGCCCCCGTTCAATACACAATTGCTTTGCACTCCAAAAAAATGCTATTGAGGTCCAAATTTGGTAGCTTTTTATTGCCCTTCAAATTTTTGAATAAAACCACTTGAGGTGGGGGCTTTTATTATTAGGAAATGAAAAGTATAATGTGTAATGTAGGGCAATCGTGCTTCACCCTTCATGGACAGCAATGAAAAGAGGTCGGTCTTGGGGAGGGAGGGAGGCCGAACTTAACCTCCCATGGACAGTACAAAACCTTTCTATCACCCTATACCTATTTCAATTAGCAAATAATTTCTCTCAAAACAAGCTATTAATTAGTACATCTCATTTATTAGGAAATAGTAATTAGTATATTACTCTTTAATACTGGTTAACGGTCTTGCATTTAGAAGCATCAGACTTACCCTTGACAAGAAATTCCTTGTGCATATCAAGGTGTTATCGTTTTGCAAACATGAAACCCATTTTTAACAATTTTTCATAAGAAAAAATTTGATCTTTATCTCGGAGCCTCAAAGAGCTTTCCCACTTCACCCTCGGGACACACCATTCTTATAGATACAAACGGACTTTCACAACTTCTTAACCCAAAATGAAATGGCTGGGAAGGGGAGAGGAAAGGTTCCTTACTTTTTAGGGTACTCTCCGGAACAGATCCAGTGGAGACGGGTGTGGCACGTAGCTCATAGAATTTGAGCACGTGGCTACGGAAGATTGACAAATACGTGTGGAAGGGAGCAGTCAATAGATAGAGGAAAGCTCAATATCTCACTATTGCAAAAGGTATTGATATACTATAAAATAAAGGATGATACTTAAAACAGATAAAATTCAGATTGCAGTTGCATTACCTTAGCTTGAATTGATTTATCTCCATAAAGTTGAAGAGTTGGATATGAGTTTTCCTGGTCTGCATTTACCGAGACAATCTGGCTTCCAAAACGCACTGTTCTGGGTGGCAAAGCGTCGGCCAGGACTTTGATAAGATCATTCCTCTTTACGCAACGACACTCACCAATCCTGTCAAAATGATTTTAATAGATACCTAATTGACAAGAGATGTTCATGTTGGAGAATCAGTTCAATGGTTCATGACTTACTCAAGTATTTCTTGTTGCTTTCCAACATCAATCCATACATCTCGCATTCTGCACAATGTGCGAACCACCAAAAAACTAAGAAAAATCGCAACACATTAGGAATAGAGCAAGCACGTACCGAAATTTTCAATTTTGTCCCCAATTTATAGGTTTTTTAACCGTGTAAAGCAAAAAGTTTCACTTATCAAAACTTATTAGTAATTACTATTCGCAAACATACGAGTACCCCTTATTTCGAATTCTCAACATCTCTACTTCTAAGTACTTCTTTTTCTTTTCTATCAAAAGCGACTATTTTTTAGTATGCAAACTTGACAAGTTTCTAATAAACTTTTAAATCTTAATTAAACAGAGGTTATAGAACAAGGAACTCCAAATAACACTTCTCCTAGACTATAATCAGGGAGGGAGAGACAGAGATCAGGAAAACTTTCGTCTTGAAAAGTCTAGACCAAACAGCAAACAATAACGTTTTACGACAAAAAATTTCATCCTTAAAGCTGAAACTGCTTGTACCTGTGAATAGGATTGGCCCTCTGTCTAAGCTCTGAGGCAACGCCAAGCTGATCAAGTGCTCGCCAGCCATTAGCTCTGATGCCAATAGCTGCTCCTGTATCTCGCAACGTTTCAGATTTTTCCAAAATTATGCTTCTCAACCCTTTTCTGCATTCGTTTTATTCGAAGTTTGTATTTTTCAGTAACAGTTAATATGAGTGAGTACTAACTATTTTTCGAAAGAGAAACTGAAACAAAATATTTAGAGCTGGTGTGACGAAGCAAATCAGGTGAAACAAGGCTTCCTTTAACCAGTATTCTTTTGCCGCTCGCTTAATTAAACAAGGGGAGGCTCCAGTAATTAACCTGTGAAGAGCAAGAGCAGTGGCAAGGCCGCAGATCCCACCTCCAACTATCACAATATCATGAGTTTCTTCCATTGAATCCATATCCATATCCAACCCACACCCTTTAATGAATCACATTATTATATCATGTAGTAGTATTCCACAGAAGACTTGACTTTAGTTTTATGATGTTTCAGAGAAGGGTCCCCCACAAAGCTTGTATATTGATGATGAAGTTGTTGATAAACAGCCAAAATGCATTAAAAGATAGGCAGCATAGTCAACAATTGTAGGGCACTAAATGTTTGACTTTGGATGGATGTTTATTTTACTTGAAAAGTAACGAGAGAGACAGCAGAAGTACCAATACTCGTACGTTTTCCCTCCTTACTTAAACTAGTACTTTTTTTCTCACCTTCTAAATAAAATAAGCACGCACTAAAATATGCCAAACCCAACAACATGCCCATCTAAATCAACCCCAGAGCACTGACTGTTTTCTTCTCAAGAATACACAGTAAACTCCTCCCTTCTGACTATGATACCATGAAAAGGAACTCTAATATTTTACACTGCCCCGAGATCAACAATCTGGAAATCAAGTGTAGAGAAAGAAAAACGTGCAGAAATGAAGGAAAGTGAGAGATAATTTTACAACACAATACAATTGCAAAAATATATTACAACTCATTTGTTTTAATGCAAAATCCAGGCAAATATTTATGGACTTCATAGATATTTGTAGTTCATGCTGTTAATGATTTACGGGAATCAAAAGTGCACAAAACTACCTAAAAACATGGAAATACAGGATTTGTCATATGGGAATACAAATGGATGTAATGTTATATAAGCTCCCCTGTTTTCAACATGAATTTTTAAACCGAAGATATCGTAACATAACAGAAGGAAGTCATACTGTTTTTTACACTAAAGTCTACCGCAGTCATATTTAGTGTGACCGATTGGGTCTCTGAACAGAATGACCAACAACATAGTTGCAGTGAATTTCTCCAGCTGCGATTGTGTTTGCAATAGAAGGCCAGTAACATATGTTCGTGTTGACACTGCCACCAGCCGTTTTCTCCTTTCCTTCACATATTGATCGATTGCTTCTCCAGCTTTGTCTATCAGTATCTGCCTACCACAGTTAGACAAGTCTTCAGCTCTTATTTTTTGTCCCAAACATCTGGCGAGGACAATGGCATCTTCTAAAGCTGGCGAGCCACCTTGTCCAAGGAATGGGCCCATTACATGCATTGCATCTCCTGCCACTGTCACCGTTCCTTTCCTGAATGTTGGTAGCAGTAAATCCCATGGAGCACGCTGCCTTAAGTGAGTTAGAGACAATGAATTGACCTCTGCCCCTTCTATAATCTCTATTACATCACTTGGGAAACCACTCACTATGTTTGAGGTTGATCGTTTGATTGTTTCCGGATCATGTGTAAAATTTTCAGCTGTGTAGAATCTGGAAGTCGAAGCTCTTACATTTGTGCGGAATATTGTGCTCGATGGTGTGAAGAAATGAGTAGTTCATCCTTCTACAGGATGACCATCTTCATTGATGAAGAACAGGTAGATCGAGGGAGAGATGGAGCTGATCTTAGCTCAACAAAATAGAGTATAACAACTCAATAAAATGTGGTTTTGTGTGGAGAAGATGGCAGTGGAAATCAACATAAAAGACAACATAAAACAAGTATAAAACATAAATAAAACAAAGCATTTACTCTGCTGGTTTGCACCAGCAGAGGAGAGGCAGAGAACTTGAGAGACTACATTTTGAGAGTCTTTCTTTCAATAGATTTTCTTGTGTATTGTTCTCGTGTGTTACAAGCCCACTAAAGGAGTCATATATATAGAAAGATATGGTAGTCAACCTAACACCATACTCCCCTTGATTTAAGGACAAGTTACCTAATATTTAAAATCATTTCATCACATGTCTTAGTTGGTTTTGAACCAAACTAGACTTACATTTACAAACCACAATTAACATATAATTTGATTGACAACAAAGTGTCAATACCCAACAA